GCCGCGCCAGACGCCCCCGCCTCCCCTCGACGCCGGCCGTCGCCCGCCGCCAACCCGCAGGTATGCTTCCCTTTCTTTCTTTTTGTTTTATTTTTTTCCTTTTTGATTCATTGTTGGCACTCACAATTTATTGTTTGTTGTATTGTGTAGATGGAGGTGAACAACAACGACATGGACTCGTTGTCCGATTCGTCGGGTTGGTCGTCATCCGACGATTCGGACATCGACGAGTTGTTGCAAGACGACGACGTCGAGATGATGAGCCTCCTCATCGACGTGCAATCCTTTGAAAACCACGTGAGGCTGATGGATCAGAGGAGAGGGTCGAAGATGGGGCGAGTCACCATCTACCGGAACCATGCTCTCGGACACGAGCATTTGATGGAAGACTACTTCGCAGAGGTACCTACATACCCTCCTCGTCTCTTCCGCGGAAGGTACCGAATGCGGCGTAGTTCGTTTGTGAAGATTGTCAATGATTGTGAGGCCGCCTCCTATTACTTTAAGCGTCATAGATCCGCCGCCGGTATCATGGGGTTTAGTGCATATCAAAAGATATCGGCGGCAATGCGGGTACTCGCTTATGGCATACCCGCGGATTATACTGACGAGTATCTTCGCATTGGGCAAGATACAACCACGGAGTCAGTCCGTAGGTTTGCCAAGTTGGTCATTCGTCTGTACGGTGAGCAGTATCTTCGGGCACCAAACGAGGAAGATACAAAGAGATTAATGGAAATGAATGAAAAAAGGGGATGGCCGGGGATGCTAGGTAGTCTTGACTGCATGCATTGGAGGTGGAAAAATTGCCCAAAGGCATGGCACGGAATGTATTGCGGTAAAAGCCGTGATGCTACCATTGTGCTTGAGGTCGTAGCATCTCAGGACACATGGATTTGGCATGCATTCTTTGAGTTGTCGGGAACACTCAATGATATCAATATCCTCAATAGATCTCCTTTGTTCAAAAGATTAATTTCTGGGGATGCTCCAGCTTGCAACTACAAAGTCATGGACAATGAGTACTCAATGGGATACTATCGCACCGATGGCATCTATTCCGAATGGGCAACTCTTGTGAAGTCCATCAAGGAGAAAAATGAGGTGCCCTTAACAAGAAAAGAGGCTCATTTCACCAAGGCACAAGAGGCAGCCAGCAAGGATATTGAGAGACCGTTCGGTGTTTTGCAAGCAAGGTTTGCCATAGTTCGTGGTCCAGCTCGATTTTGGGACAAAAAAACCTTGATGAACATCATGAAATGTTGTGTGATTCTACACAACATGGTCCTAGAGGATGAAAGAGGATTAAACCTCCCTTGTTTCTATGACAATGTTGATACCCGTGTGCAACCAGAAAGAAATCCTTCTCGCATACACGCTTTTCTTCAAGCACATCGTGAGATTGAGGATGCAACCACTCATGGTCGGCTCCGGGATGATCTAATAGAGCACCACTGGCAGTTGGATGGGCGGCGCATTGGCCCATGATGTATCTTTGTTTTACTTTTCTATGTCCTATTTGATTCGAACAATTAGTGTAATTTGCTCAAACATTGTTGTAATAATTTGAATGATTATTGTTTTATTCGGTGTTGTAATAATAACTAGAATGATTATTGTTTTATGTCAAATGTGATGGAATTTGTGACATGTCATATGATGAAATGTGTGATATATGAAATAACAGTTTTAAAGGTTGGGGTTGACACAAAGACTAGAACCCTCAAATCCAAGTTTAAGGGTTGGATTTGAAGGTTCTAGTCTTTGTCCCTGTTTTTCAACCCTTAAAAGTGTCAAAAAGTGGTAGTTCTCAACCCTTAAAACTGCTACAAGGGTTTGAGAGTTTAAGGTTCTACTAGTAATGCTCTAAAAGTACCAAAGTTCATCAAAACCATTGGCTCTAATAACATATGGGGCCAGCCTATTAGCACATGTATTATTAATCGGGATACTTCATGCCTAAGGCACGACTGGGCGGGAACCTTTCCAATGCATAGCTCGGCTCAATTATATCCAGCACTTGTTAGAAGCCGAGGTGGTTTCGGTCTCCTCGGATTCGGGCTGACGTCAAAACTTTGACTACAAAAGATGATTTCGTTGAACCATTTTTCAAGAGCGACAACCAATTTTCAAGACCGATGACCGAAGATAAATTGGCCGCTCAGGTGAACCGAGGTGCATCCAAATTTAAAGACCGGTTCAGGTGTTATTGACCTGTCCCGGCTAGGAGGCCTTTGACCATGTTGTCTTCTGGCTTGGTGGCCTGAGCTGAGGACTCCCATAGTCGGTTCCAAAGTGGGCCACATCGTGTGGCTCATGATGCATAAACAGAAGGATCCAGAAGACTTGATGTATACTAAAGAAGCTAGATTCATAAAAGACTCAGTGCCCTTGTACATGCCAACTAGGATATTGTAACCCTAAACCCTCCGTATATCTATATAAACCGAGGGATTAGGTATGGGTGTTTACATGTATTCTTTAGTTACTCCAACGCAATAAACACAAGCAAAATGTAGGGTATTATCTCATCAGAGAGCCCAAACATTAGTAAAACCTGGCGTACCTGTTACCGTTGTATCTAAACGCTTAGCTTAGGATCCCTACCTCGAGATCTGTCGGATTTAGCTCCGTCACATATGTCTCGGCACGGCCCAACACGCCTATAAAAAGGTCTGGCACGACATGACCCATATCGTACCTTCTATAAAAGGATTGTGTCGTGCGAGCCTGAAGTCCTCGACTCAGGGATCGGCCTAGCACGTGACTAAAAAGGCCGGCATGGTCCGGCATGCCTGTGGGCTGACCTTCTGGGTCGTTTCGGCCTTCCAAGCCATCCGTGTTTTAAATTTTAGTAAAATATAAAAAAATGAGAAAAAATAAAATACAGAAGAATCTTAAAATCAATGCAGAATACAGAAGAATCTACAAAACTAAAGATACAGACAAAGAAAAATACAGAAAATCTGAAGAAAAAAATAGAAATATTAAATATTAAGAAAAAGATACAGAAAATGTAAAAGGGATTCTTGCCGGACCGGCCTTTTTTTTGAGAAATTGCCGGACCGGCCTTAAGGCTTGACTTCAGGAATGGGCCTTCATCCATGGCGAGCCGAAGGCCACCCCGGCCCTTTTATTTGCCTGCCATGCCGGGCCAAAATCTATGCCCGCGGGCCGGTCTTAAAAACACGGCCTGGCCAGCTTTGCCCTTAACCAATGATTTTCAGGGAAGTACAGTAGCACGAGCATCCTCGGCCGAAGCAGCAATGGAGGAAAAGTCGACCCAGAAAGCGGCCGCGGCGGAGGAGGAGAACCCCTCGCCGGAGTTGTGCCTGAGGATCCCCGGGGACTACGCCGTCGGCTCCATCCCCACCGTCCTATACGTCCCCGACTTCATCTCCGAGACCGAGCAGTCCCAGCTCCTCCACCATGTACTGGACCAATCCTCTCCTTCCTTTCTACTACTCGCCCGATCCCCTACTTTGGTTTCGCTTTCTCCTGTCTTGCTCGTGTGGTCTGAGGCTCTCTCCGGTGGCGGATTCCGTTGCAGGTATACCAGGCACCGGCGCCCAAGTGGAAGATTTTGAAAAACCGGCGGCTCCAGAACTGGGGTGCGTGTTGCCGGCTGCAGTCCCTGAATTGAATCCCTGCTTGAAAATTTGCGCTATTCTTTTCTTTTCTTGCCTCTGGGAAAGTGTTGATTTGGTCGACCTGTGCTGTGCAGGAGGAGTGGTGCACGAGAAGGGGCTACTGCCGCAGGCATGTGAGTATTCATCAGCATTGTAATGTTCAGCACAATTTTGTGGATTCTGTGTCATGCTTTACATAACTGAAGTGCCCCCATGTGGTTTTACGGAGATACTTCAGGGATTCGTTGTTCCTTCATAATTTGGCTGCGATAAGCTTGCTAACGTAGTATGGATGCCCTCAGCCCTCTCTAGAATCCTTAGAATTGACGAAATCTCCGTCAGAGTTTGAGGAAAGAGACATGAAAGAAGATCTCATGTTCTCAGTTTTGAGAGATAACAAGAACTATTTGTATCATCATCTGTTCTCTCTTTCCATCAGTCAAATAAATCTGTTAAAATGGTTTGCTCCTTTTTTAATTTGTTTTGCTGCTTCAGTTATAATGCCCCGCAACAGAGCACATGTTTTTGTTCAAATCACATTTCTTTTGGTCTATCACATAATTTAAGGTTTACTGTTGGTCTATCATCCCTGCATCGCAGGCATGGTTTTATCATCAGGCAGACAGAAATTTATTTTAGATGCCCCTACCCCCTCTGTAATCCATACAATGGCAAAATCGCTATGAGTGTTTGTGGTAGAGACATGTAAAAAGATCTTGTGTGCTCAGTTAAATAAATTGCAAAAGCAATATGCAGTGTCTTATGTTCTCTCTTTCTAATAGTGAAACAAAAATGTTTATTTTTTATTTTTGACAAACAATTGCATTGGGCTATTCATTGTTAATGAGAGAGCTGGGAAGATCTCAACTCTGGGAGATTACAGAGATAGGAAACATAGAAAAGGAAGACATGAAAAGAGGGGATGTACAGGAGAGCAAAGGGCAAAAAACAGTAGCTACCTGGGCTGAGATGCTCGATCAGCGACCACACCGCCAGCTGGTACCAGTCTACCAGATACTGTTCGCGTAGGGGCATTGCACAAGCATGTGATCCCCAACAACAGATTGTTCCTTTGTGATCCCCAACAGTTGATTGCGTGCTCTTTTTGTGTACATTATTGTTTTTGGTCTATTGCATCATAAGGATTAATCCCATGTTTTCATGCAATTTTCTGGCTGGTATCTATGCATGCTTGGCGTTGTACAGAAGACAAAAAAAGCGTTTTCTCAGGAACTAAAAATATGATGAGTGCTTAAAATTACATACAGTGTACATTCTTTTTTACTTTAGTTAGGTGTCATCAGTTTTTAGCATTGAAATTACATTCATTTGTCTAATATTGCAGTACCTCCATGGCTTACAAAGATAACTGACAGAATCTGCCAGTGGACTGGTTTATTTCCTTCAGCAATCAATCATGTTCTGATTAATGAGTATCATCCTAATCAAGGGATCATGGTCAGTAATCATCAGCTCCATATTGTTCATTTCTCTAGTACATCTTCTATGGTTTGCGCTTCACTGAAGTACAATAACACTGCACCTTTCAGCCACATCAAGACGGCCCTGCCTATTTTCCTGTTGTCGCTATCATATCCCTTGCTTCACCGGTTGTGCTTGATTTCACACCCCACGGAAAGCTCAGAGGGCTTGAACATACATATCTCCAAAATATACAAACTGATGAGCCACAGGAGAGTAATGGTTCCTATAAGGTTGAAGGCACAAAGGAAGCTGGTCCTGCTTCGTCACTTCTACTAATGCCCTGCAGCCTGTTAATATTCAAAGATCAGGCTTATACAGGTTAGCCCCGTAGTTTCTTTCATGAATTAGCTTGATAAAAACCTCTTCAGATTATTTTGTTGGCAAAACTAGGCTTTAGTTATTTATATTTTCATGACATTTGCAGACTTCCTACATGGTATACAAGACACTGAGCTGCATAATCTAGACAAGGTGAAACTTTTGCCCACTGCAAAGCACCCCGAATACGCGCAAACTAATAATCAACTTTATTTGCATTCTACAGGTTGCAAATATCTCACAGTGCCCGCAATTCAAGCATCTAAGCTATGATTACAGCCCAGGCAAAGCAGATAGCAGTGCTAGCTCTGAGCCAAGTGGCACCTTCCACAGGACCACCACAAGAGTCTCGTTGACGTGCCGGCTAGTGTTGAAGGTACACAATAAGCTGTTCAAATTCTAGTATCCGTATGGCCTGCTTACATCAGCGTAGCCAGTGGGACAACAGTGAGAAAGAACTGTGGTAGATACAGAGAAGTATGCTAGCAAATCAGAGGATGAGAGGAACACACCAATCTGGCCGGTATGTGCCTTTTGATCATTTAGCATTCCAGAATGTGAAATCACGATGTATCCCCTTGGCGGACAGGGTTCAGTTGTGCTGCCGTTTATCCAGAATGTAGAAAGTATGCATGGATTTTCTTGAATGTAATGACAGAATGAACTTTTAATCCTGCTAGTAATTTCTGAATATACTGCATGGGATATAGCTGCACTGATGGTTAAGATTATTTGAGTTTGGCAGAACCAGAACATTTATGTATATATAAGTAAGTAGAGATCATTCCAGACATGGTTTGTTTTGTGATGAAAATCTTTGGAGAAATATGTTCATGATCCTGTCCAAATAGTCTTTTGTTTTTCTTCCATGAACGGGCAAATGACGGAACATTTCCATGCAAAAACTGTAGTGAAATTCAGAAAAAAATAATGAAATTCATGAAATGACATCGTGCTTTCATTTAAGGAAACTTTTTTGAAACAAAGAATGAAAAGGGGGAACTAGAAGCCACTCTGCCGGACCCTGATAAATCCCGAATGTTTGGATTTTAAGCATGTCATCCCGAACGGTTTTTCATGTCAATTTTAGTTGACGTGAGGTGGCAACTTTAGTTGTTAAAACATGGCAACATTGTCCCAGTTCATTTTTTTTTGTCAGAAAATTGCCATGTTTGCCAACCTCGCGTGGACTAAAGTTGCCATGAAAATCGTTCGGATTGCCATGCTTAAAATCCGAATGTTCGGGATTTATCATTTCCGTATTCTTTTAGGAGAAATTGCAGCGTGAGACTTTGAACCCGGGCCAGCAAGAACAACCTTTGTGCTGTCTACCTTTGCACCAAGGCCAACTTACCATTTCAGGAAATTTTCATGGTCTGTTTAAAAAGAATCATAAATTCCCTCGCTCATGTTGTTGTGATCAAGAGATACTGTGTACTGTAAATAAGAGTTGATTACACTTTCGACTATGTAGTCTCACCATAGCGGTAATTTGCACCATACTTTTTTGGGGTGGAAAAATACTCCCTTTGTAAACAAATATAAGACCGAGTATTTTAGAAATGGGTCGTCATAATAGCTATGTTTTTGTTTTCTTTCTTTCTCTCGGAGCTTGAGGATACATACATACATACATATGGGGCTAGTGGGACTTTTTTTTTACCAACCGCAATCTTCAGGACGGTGGTGAAGGTCTATTGTAATTCCATGGGCCTCACGATGGAATTTTGATTACAAGTAATTAATCTAATGGGGATGGAGGCTATGATAATGAAAATGGCTATGGAAATGTGATTTCATTTTTTACAGGGTATTTTTTAGGGGATTTTTACAGGGTATGAAGATGTGAAGTTGATGACGGCTGCCACGGCCCGGTCCCAACATGGCTTTAGAACCGTGCAAGCCCACGTACACGAATATACGGCCCATGGGTTATGTCATACGTCCCACCACCCGCATCCGCCTGCACTGAAAAAAAAAAGCCCAGTTCGGCTCGAACGCCGCGCCGCCGCACCCACACGCTGCTGGCTGACCGGTCCTTGCCCGGCGCCGGCTAGCCTCCCTTGCTGCCCCCCGCGCGGAGTGGGCAGCCTCGGCGTCCCCCAGGCCCGGCTCCACGCGGCGCGGCGCCCGAGGGTGTTCCGCCAGTCCAAGCGCCTGGTGGCATGTACGCCTCTCACACTCGCAGGCTTCTTCGCCGCGACAGGGGAGCCCGTGCCCATGGCGGCGCCGCCAGGAGGCGCGCGTCGAAGCCTCTGTTGTGCTTCGTCGGCGCCATCCTCCTCGTCGCGGCCTCTCGCCACACCCTGCTCCCCAAGGTATTGATATAATCTCAGAAGCTGAATGCCTGAATCCCATCCCCAGCGGCGCCAAAGATTATTTTTTTTCTGTATGCCTCGATTGGCTGTTGATCCTTCCCTAGGGTATCAGTAGCATTGCAGATCCAGTTGCCGAAGAACTGTGCTGCATTGACTGAATCATTAGCTAATTCCATGTCTTGATTTCCTTCTTGCGAGGGAAGGTGCCATTTCTGGGCTCCTTTTGGAGAGTTTCATTGGCATCTGGTGCTTACATTCCCATGCCCAAATTTTACGGTGTAAAGTATGAGCTGCACACGCTCCCTGTAAGGCCTCCCTGTCTTGGTGTCTCCTTCTGCATTGGCCCCGAAGGCATATTGCTCACAGATTTGTGTGGTAGCTTCTTAGGTGGATGCGAAGGCGGTGGCCGACGGTGACACAATCACAGTGTATGTTGACGCGGCTGACCCTCGTGAGTCCGCCAACGTGCCCCGTGAAGTTCAGCAAGCCGCCGCAGAGCGAACCAAGGCGCGGACGGCCAAGAACTATGAGAAGGCTGATATGCTACATAAGATCATAGTGGATGCCGGATATAGGTAACTTCAAAAATTAACATCAGGCAACTGTCTATTTCTGTGCGGTCTCACCTGCTGACAGTTCTGAAGCTTCTTCTAAGTGCAGGCAAGTTCCTGACTTGACAGGGAAACATGTTCTCGCGAAGAAGTACCGGATCAGGCTAAGGTTTGTCCCACATCTTGGTCCCAATCGATGGTCAAGGGCTTTGTTTGTTCTTATTGGACTGGAGTTGAGATATTATAGAACGAAACGATGCAATGCAGAGGGATTGATGCACCAGAGAACTCGATGCCTTATGGTAAAGAGGCAAAAGAGGAGCTGGTGAGGCTGGTGAAGGGAAGAACCTTAAAGGTTTCCATATGTGATACTGACCGGTACGGTCGATTAGTTGGAGATGTTGTCTGCAATGGTGTCTTCGTGCAGGTAATATGTCATACTCTATTGTCACGTCAGAGTCACCTTTTCGAGGTCTGTTATGCTGGAAATAACCTATGCAAGTACTGAATTATGTATGCTCCATGTGCTGTTTGGTTTTCTTATTAAAAGATCAATAATCATGAAACTGCACATTTACAGTACATGAAACTGTATGTATTTAAGATTTTGAAAATTCTCAGAACTTTCACCAGAACATAAATCGAATCAACAAGCCTCAAATATTACTATTAAATTCTGCACGAAACATGATGTATTTCCTCGTATGAAGATACATGCATACATGCATACTTATGGGCCTGTTAACCATTTTGCGACTTTTCAACTAAGAAACAATCAAGTTTTCATATCTTGCTTTTAAAACAGGAACACATGCTGAAGAAAGGCCTCACATGGCACTACTCTGCGTATGATCGACGGCCTGAGCTCGCAGAGGTAAGCAATGTGACTTGCTTGGCAGCTTCGGTTCACATGACTGAAGAGCAGTATAGCGCACTCTGAGCATTTCTTCAACCTACCAACTACCATATATATACACTTGAAAAGACCTTGACAGACTGAAATTTGTTCAGTGGGAGAAGCAGGCGTGGGTGAGCGGGTTGGGCCTGTGGGCGCTGCCGAACCCTGAGAAGCCATGGGAATGGAGGAAGGAGAAGCGCGCGAGGAAATGGTGAATCATCCGTGACTCGTGCCCAAAGATCTCTAGACGACTAGACGAGAACAGTAGCTTCGGACACTGTATAATGTTTACTCTGTACCTCAACACTTGCATGCTGTAACAGCCTCTGTAGATTGCAGCAGGGAGCATCGATTTGTGTAAGCTCCAATTGGGGACGCATTCTCTTGTTTGCATTAGACTGTTGTAAACTTATAATGATTTCTGTAAACCACGATGTGATGATCAGTTGGTATTAATGGATTGATACTGCTATGTAGCCAAATGTTTCCAGTCTAAAAAAATAGGTACAGAAAGGCAATTCTACTCAAGAAACAAATGGTTAACAAAAGATACAATTTTCAGGATCCATGAAAGACCACTTGCCAAGACCATGACCCCAAATTTCAAGAGAGAACAAAAAAAAAATATTGTGTTGAATGCGGTCAGGTCGTGCTGAACAATCAGCAAAATTCTATTCTGCGTCCTCTTCCGCGTCCAGTGCGAAATTCTATTTCCGTCAGGGGCCAGACCGACGGTTAGGGAGCGTCAAACCCGAACCTGGCGAGAGACCGGCACGGCGGCACGAGCGCCGTCGAGCGGCTGCGGGAGCAAGCACCAAGGGAGGACACCGTGGTGGATCGTCCGCTCCGCCGAAGACCTTCTTCCACTCCTACCGGCTAGGTACGCCCAACTCCCCAAGCCCTAAGTGCGTAGATAGATTGGTCAAGGATTTTTTTGTTCCACCGCCCCAAATCTTAATTTCGTCAACTATCTCGAAATGTATCTCTTCCTTTTCCCAGTGCTGATGCAGGTTATTACTGGTGCCTAGTGTTGTTGGCTGCGTACGTTATTGTTCCTTCGACATTACCGTGTGTGTGTGCATGAATCTTTCACCCACGAGGAGCTAAGATGAATTACTTTTCTTCTGCTTTTTCGACCGTGAGACTCTGTTGTGTGCAATGATCTGGTTCCTTTTTCAAGATCATCTGTATTGCGTCAGTGTGGCGCTTGCTATTCCTTTGGCCAGTTCAGAACGTAGCATGATTAACTTGCTGGCGCCTGATGCTGATGTGCTGTAGGTGTCGTGTGACTGTGACCTGTACAAGAAGCTGACTCGGGATCGTTTGATGCGCTGTGACCATGCAGCAGCAAGCGCAGGGGGTTTCCAGTGGCATGTACAGATACATGCACCGCTGCGAGAGTGGAGTTAATATTCATGATGTCTTTGTCGAGAGGAGTGCATTCCGGGTGCTGTTTTCATATGTCGGTGCGATATTTCTTCTTGCGAATGTTTGCCGTACCTTGTTGTCACAGGTAGTTTTCTCAGAATCATTCGCAAAAGTCAAAACCCAAGTATGGCTGATTGATTTTTCACTATTCCGCTGCTCGAATCAGGTGTTCATATGTTTTCATGAGCTTTTGGGGCTCTTAGCAATAAAGATGCAGATGCAAAGAAATGTGTCAGGTTCCTAAAAAAGTCATATTAGAAATGCCGTACTGATGATGCTATCATCAAACTGTGGTTTACATTCAGGTGGTGTAGGTTAATGGAATTTTCATGCATTCGATTGTCCCACTCTAATGACTTGCAGTGCTTAAATGTTTCAGGAGAGTTTATGCCTTGGTTCCTTTTGGAGTGTTCCGTTTTCTGCTATCGCCGCTAAATGCTTGCAATACAAGCCTGTGAAGAAAGGTTGGGCGCTGATGCTGTTTCTTCTTTATCCCATTTTTGTGCTTTGCATGCGAACTTTCACCTTAAGGTTGCATAACAATGAGATACTCTTGTTTATCAACATCCGCGTTGAAAATGCTTATATTTGCAGAGTCGTTAATGATTATGCCAAATTTCGGGATTCAGCTACAACAACACTTTTGGAGGTATGAAAGAACCATTCTGGAGTCATTCATGTGTGCATCGAGATTCCACTCTTGCTGTCAGCATTTGTCACTCTTCAAACATTTATAACATTGCAACAACACTTCAACAATTGCAAACAGATATATGGAATTAAAGGCTTTGGATACCTAATGAAATAAGTAGTAATTGGCACTTTAGCAGAAATAAAGTACTGCTGTCTTGTTTGTACTTATTTAGTGACAAGATTTGCAACAGATTAGTTGTTTTGCGTTAACTAGAAATTATCATTGCCTGATTGCTTATTGCCGTTTCCATTATTCTATTTCATAATATAATACAAAGTACAGAAAGCAGAGGACGAAGTACTGCTCTCTTGTCAGTACTTGTTAGTGACAAGATTTGCAATGGATGAAGTTGTTTTGCGTTAGCTAAAAATGATCACTGTCTGATTGGCTTCTTGCCATTTCCATTCTTTTATTATATTATTACAAGGTACAGAAAATAGAGGCTTCTTCATCCTTTTATCTCTTTTACATCTATGTTATCTTTCGTAGTGGACTAGTACATCGCAAGTTTGTGCCCATCAGCAAGATCCTAAAGCCGGTGCTGAATGAGTGTGTGACCCCTGTTACATGCTACTGGAGCTTGGCATTGCTTTTACGCGATGAAGACGAGATCATGCTCGTTTTTCAGGTAACTCTTGCCTGCTTTCAATTGATTTTTAAATGCAATGTCAGGAACCTGTGGTCTGAAAGAGCCTAATGTGCAGAACCTGCGTCCACCCATCAAACTGTTGCTCCCAATCTGGAAAGCTCTGTGCGCATTCACAAACTCCAGCAGCATTAGCCCTTCCATGCTTCTTCGAGAAGGTGATTGGCATAAGCATGTTGATCGAGATGGTGCTGTGGATTCCTGAATAGTTCCCTGAAGACCTCTCTCTCTGCCGAGTGACAACAGGATGTTCAGTTGTGTCACCACTAACTGAAGATAAATTGTCAAGTGGAGGATTTTGGTGATACCAACAGGGGTCCAACCGAATTATTTCTCTTTACCTGCAGAAGAAACTGAATGCTCCACTTGTAACTTTGGCCTGGCCATGTGGTATTTCTGTCCACTGAAGGAGATTCACAACAGAATGTACCACAATGCTTTTTTCAGTTCCTAGTTGGGAATCCATGTTCTGGGGTGCAGATGTAGTGACACTGTAAGGATGGTCCAACTGCTGATGATAAAATCTTGGACACTTGCATGCAGTCATATCCGTTGCAGTAAATTTCTTTTTTTTTTCTTTTTTTCCTTGGAGAAGATGTGAAAATATAACAGATTGGATCATCAGGCTACAGCTTACCAAGATGAAACATTAAGCATCTACTGAGCGTTCTGGCTCGCAGCTGCACTGTGCCTGTACATCATTTTTTGTTGATCAGAGCAACAACCGCGCCCAGTGGATCTCAGGATCTGCAGGTGGAGATGTGTAGTGTAATTGACATTGACGGCGGCTGTTTCCAAAGAGCTCAGCAATCAGGTCATCATCATGCCAACCATGCCATCATAATCCTCATCATGAAGAACTCTTTGAGTTAGCATGAACCGTACAATGCTCCTTCTTGCAAGTGTTTGTTGTGCCTTGTTGTCGAAGGTACTATGACCGAGCTTCTGTTATTTCGCTCATGCGCTCTGGTTGCTACATGGCCAATTTATCTCATGAGTTTCTTAGGCTCCTAGCAACACGGATTCAAATGTGTTTTAGTGACAAGATTGACAACGGATCAAGTTGTTTTGTGTTTTATTTTGAAGTAAAATCACGGCACGTATTTTGGAATCGGAGGGAGTAATTTTATCTCTTTTACATCTATGTTATCTTTCACAGTGGACGAGCGCATCGCAAGTCTGTGCCCATGGCAAGATCCTAAAGCGGGTGCTGAACGAGTGCGTGGCCCCTGTTACCTGCTACTGGAGCTTGGCATTGCTTCCACGCGACGAAGGCGAGATCACGACGCTCGTTTTTCAGGTAAATCCCGCCTTCTTTCACTGATTTTTGAAATGTACTCTCAGGAACCCTGTGGTCTGAATGAGCAGAAACTGCGTCCGCCGGTCAAAATGTTGGTCCCAATCTGGAAAGCTTCGTGCGCATTCACAAACTCCGGCACCACTAGCCCTTCCGTGGTTCTTCGAGAAGATGATTGGCATAAGCATGTTGGTCGAGATGGTGCTGTGGACTCGTGAATAGTTCCCCGAAGACTTCTCTGCCGAGTGGCAACGGGATGTTCAGTGCTGTCGCCACTAACTGAAGATCAATTGTCAGGTGGAGAATTTTTCTGATGCCAGGGCTCTGAGCCTGACTCTTTCGTCTGACTGATGGATTTATTTCTCCTTGGCTGCTGAGAAACTGAGTGGCCCACTTGTAACTTTGGCCTGACAGTGTGGTATTCCTGTCCACTGAAGAAGATTCACAACAGAATCCATGTACCACAATGTTTCTTCAGACCCTACGTGGGAACCCATGTTCTGGGGCTGCAATGCAAATGCAGCAACCCTGCGAGGAGGGGTGCAACTGCTGATAATAAAACCTTACCCGTTTGCATGCAGTCATATCTGTTGTGCTGAATCATGAATGTCTTTTCTCCTCTTTTTTTTTTCATTGGAGAAGATGTGAAAATCTGATGATCTGGATCATCATCTGCTTAGTGCTTAGTCGTGCGTGCAGGGGCTGCCACCAATCGCTTTCGCTCGCCGCTACATCTGCGTGTATTGTATAACACCACTTTTGTCAAGCAGGCCAACAACCGCGCGCAGGGGATTTCAGGATGTACAGATGGAGATCTGTAGTATTGCATGGCAGTTTTTATCCTTTTCTTTCTGCGAGAATACCTGACAGTGGCCGTTTCAAAAGAGCTCACCAATCAGGTCATCGTCATGCCAACCATTTGCCATCATCATCATGATGAAGGAACTCTCTTGAGTTAGAACGAACTGAACCAGACAAACCACGAGGTAATAATATCTCAAGCACCTGTGTTTAATCTGCACCCCACAGCTCCAGAAACATATATGGACCAAACAAGAGCCATCCATCGTACTGTATGTGATTATTCTTTTGGTGTCACCGACGGACAGAAGCGGATCCGACCGACACACACGCATACACGGGTCTGCGTCACTGTCGACGCGGGGCATGAGTATGCGAGCGCAATCATGCCTCTGTCTGTCTTGTCTCTGCAATGCGATGTGCTTCTCCTAGTCTATATACTCTAGAGATGGAATTCGGTGTAGGATAAGGCACCCAGCGAGCTTGCATTATTGTTTTCTCCGGTTCTATACTAGTGGCGGATCAGGGTCAAGTCGTTCCCCTCTTCTTCTTCTTCATCTTCCACTTCTTCACATGATGACATGACATGGCTTGGAGCATGTCCCTTGGTCACTCATTTTGGATCCCGAGTCCATGGGCGTGGTCCACTCATTTTCTCGTGGCATTCGGCGGGTAGAGAGCCTATAGAGGGGGAAAGCCCAATCACACCACTGGATCAATCTTCAGTCGTTCCTCTCACTGTTTTAAAAAACACGAGGCTAAGGGGCAAGTACCCTCCGTTAAGAGCATCTACGCCTCAAATCATCCCTCATATGCCCACGAACGCGTCCCGCCAGAAGTGAGAAGGAAAAACATGACCCAATCGGATCTCTCATATCATCTCTATATGTCCGACTGTCCAGAAACCCTCATATGGGGATGATATGAGGGCTCGCGAACATGCTCGGGCATTCCATCACATAAGACGCGGCCCCACCTCAGACCACCTTTTCTCTTTCTTTATTCGTTTTTTATTTCTCTTTCTTCATCTTCACCAATTATGTGCAAGTGACCAGACATATCTCTCTATTCTTATAGAAAGCAGAGTTGGTGATGATGGTGTGCCTATCATCCTGCAATAGGCCGTCCGATCTATATATAACGGATAGGAAGCAAACTATGACAATTTACCAGCACTCCTCTCCATATTTGCAAATATGGTCTTCCCTCGTTTTTTCTTTTCTCTCTTAAAAGATAAACTACTCATACAAATGCATCTTAATGTTTCGTGCAACGCAGGGGCATCTTGCTAGTTTAAGAGAACAAAAATGAATAGTGTGACTACGCGGACGGATAAACAGGGACTCAAAACGAACACGCCCGGCCACCACGGGAGTTTAAGGGGTCAAATTTGCAATGTCCGACTATAGATGCTCTAACTTCGCGTTGTTACGTAGGTGGGGACATCCAAACCCAGGTGGCCCTCACTGTTCGCCCCTCTCTTAATTTTGGCATGGTGGACGGTAGTGGCGTGCGCATCAATCGACGACCATGTAACACACACACCGCTCGATTGCAACACTTGAGAAGTGCCCCCGCGCGCACAAGCCGGACGACCGTTGTGTGTGCGGTAGTGTCACGTGGCAACACAGAGAGCACCAGATCGGCATTGTTCTGCTTGTTTCTGATATAGCCCACCATTCACGACAGACGGGGTCAGATCGGCATGCTGGACGATCTGATCGGCGTTGCTATACAGACGACAAGATTACAGCCGACGGCTGCACGATCCTACGTGGAGGGCCAGCAGTGAGTGTGCACGCAGGAGGTTATTTGTTTTCTTTTTTTAGCTGATGCTAGTGCTGTTGGAGAGGAACATCGTTTGCAGATCGTGCGTAAAGTGTCGTCCCTGAAGCAATTTCCATTCGCGAGTGTAGCATCGGATCGGAGAGACAGGCGGACGGGGACATGGCCGTCCGTTCCTCCTCCTCACAGGTCAAATGAGCGGCTAGCATCGCGTCTTGGGTGCAAAGCGTCGGTTGGTCGCTCGTCGTGTCGTGTCGTGTCGTGTCGTGTGAATTGAAACCTAAACTGCACGTAATTAACTAAGCTGCCGTTTGGGAGTCTCGTAAATCTAGAGGCTAGACGTGCACGCATGGAGTTTAAGATCCTATTACCAGATGGTCCGCCCCTAATTCTTGGTACTCGGCAAATCAGTGACATAGCAATGCGAACGAGACTTGCCTGCTTCCCTGGCGTGCGCCCATCCATGCTTCCGCATGCGTGGTATGATTTGATTGAAACAAAATAAGGCCAGTTCCATCCTCTTAAAATCAATCAACGCGGACGACACTTGCCTAGCAACGCACATGTTTGAGCTGCATACGTGCATGACTGTTAGGACGGATCTAATTAAAAATTAAAACGGAACGGGATCACGGGATTGCTCGATGGAGTGACCGATCGAGACAGTGCATGCCCGTTATATTAGTTCACGCATGCGCACACGCCACCTTAACCAGTGTACTAATCCATCGTTAATCAGTTAACTAATGATGCAGGGTCCGTGCCCTTCGTCGATGGTTCGTCGACGTTTGGGATTAGAGCAATTGGGCGGGTCCAGCATGAGCAAATATATATTCATCATCTATCAAGTCAATACAAAGAATACTAGAAGTAAAAATTACATCTAGGTACATTGACCATCTAGAGACGACTACAAACACTAGAGCAAATCGAAGGCGCGTCTCCATCATCATCTCTTCCTCATTGAAGTCAGGCAAACCTTGTTGTAGTAGACAGTCGAAAAGTCGTCGTGCTAAGACCCAATAGGACCAGCACACCAGAACAGGAACCGCTGCCGATAAAGAGAAGTGTAGATCGGAAGGATCCAAACTAAAGACACACGAGCACGAACCAACGAAGACCAGATCCACCAAAGACAAAACGCCGACCGAATCCCGTGGGAACCGTTGGACAAACACCTCCACACACCTCCGATGACGCTGGACGCACCACCATAATGGAGACTAGACGGGAAGTACCTTATTCCAACTTAAGGCAGCCGTCACCATCTCGTCTTCCTAAGCAAGACACAAACCCTAAATGAACACAAAAGAACATCAAAA